CAGCTGAAACTGCAGGACAGGCTTTTCAGCAAATCGGTCTTTGTGGTTTAGTTTCTCCGTCTATACGACGGCATTTTTTTTTTTTTTGTCTTGCAGGGATGTTGAAATCTGTTTAAGATTTGTAAGGAAATAGCATTAGTGGAATTGGGAACCATAGAAGACTGGGGAACAGAGTATCTGCCTAGCTGTTAGCTGAGGGATGACATCCTGTTCCCTGTTAGTGTGTTGTGACGCATTAAGTATGACATGGGAATTAAGCACCCAGGAGTCTGTTCTGTTCTTTTCTCTCTGGGAAAAGATTAAATAGAGTCACTATGTAGGGCTCAGGCTGGCTCTATTGTTGTTGCATTGAAGGAAGGCACAGCCCCTCTGCTTAGGAGAGATTTTCTTTGGCTGCAAATTATAGAGATAATCTCACGGATTTTTTTGAATGTGTCAGCGCTCAGCAACCTTCTGGTTTGGCAGAGTCGAAGTTTCAGAATTGCATCATAAATGCAAAGATAAATCTAAAATAAACAAAAGGAAAGGGACATCTGAAAAAAAAAAAAACATTCTTTTTGATAATACCGTAGGAAACAGGGAAGTAGAGTGACGATTTTAGTGACACTTTGGATCAAAGCAAAATACAGAGAAGAACAGAGACATGTTGAATCCACCCTATTTTCAGTTCTATAATGAAAAATGAGTTTTGTTTTCTTAATACACACTTTTGATTTTAAAACATATCTAAGAGTAGAGAACTAAAGCCTTTTTGGATTCCATTAACTGTCTTGTTTTTTTTCTGTGAAGTTAAAAGCTACTTCTGTTGCTGTATGATTTACAAGAAATACAGACCAGACAGCACACAACAGCTACTTGGGCAGATATCAGTGCATCAGATTTCAGCTTGTTTTCAAAAGGCAGCTATATTTCAAATATGCTTGGTTGCATGAGCCCGACATGGTTCCAAACAACCTTTCCTAGCCAACATGAATAGTTAGATTTCCCAGCAGTGTAACGCAAATGGGTTGTTAGCTGCTGTAGAAGTCTGGAGTGTTTTAAGTTAAATCTGGAACTGCTATGCCTTATGGTTCCCATAGGGCTGCAGAGTAATGTGGGTTGACAGACTTACTGCTTCCACTGCTGTGCTCTTGTCAGCCTCCAGGAAGAAAGGAGATGCTACATCCCAAGGTGCAAACTGGTTTGTAGTGCGTATTTTGCTACTGTTTCTGGTGCTCGTTCTAAGGATAAGAAAAAACAAGATGCAGAAATAGCTGGCTTCATTGTTGTTGTTGCTGCATTCCGACTGCATTTAGATTAACTTGCTGTCTCAATGGGGTTTTTTTTTTTCCTTTTTATTTTCCGCATGCTTTAGTGATCTGCAGAGGCTTGGAGAACTGCAGTCAGAACTGGCAGGGATGGCAGATTTCACCGCAACTTACCTTCAGTGTCAGCTGCTCCTCATCAAGGTTTGACTTCATCTGGGTATCTTGGGCTGTTCTTCAAAAATGCCCCCAGTCCATCTTAGTGGTGCACTTTCACATTTTGACGTTTGTGCTGAAAACTGATGTATGATGAAAGCGCAGGTTCTGTGGATTTGTGATATTCCTGCTTCCCCTTCTGTGGCAAATAATTTATGCAGTAACTTTGCTAATGAGTACGCCAGTGTAGATCTCTGCTGTTGTACCTACGGCTTATGTTGGTTCACGTGCATTTTGCCCACGCAGAGTTTATTTTCTGACACAAATCACAATGGAGGCAACTACTCTGTAGCCTTTTATGTTATGAGAGTAACTTTTCTTTGCTAGTGGCCACTGGAATGCTTTTTGCTATATGGCTGCTATAAGTGGAGTTTTTATAGACGATGTTTTGTGGACAGCTTTTTTGGCACCAATGCCAGAGGAATTCTTTAGACCTGATTGAGCAAAATATCAGTCATGCTTCCTTTTACAGTGCTGAAATGATCTATCTGTTCGGTGTTAGCAGATGAAGTGGTTACTTTGACACCATGGCAGCAACCCTTTTCAAAGTCAGCTTCTTGCTGTAAACAGGAACTAGTTTTTTACTTCTCTTCTCAAGCTATCAACTGGCAATAGTATTTAAGTTAGTCTCCTGGCATTCTTTAGGTGTTTGAATGTAATTTATACACACATAAAGCAAGAACTAAAGCAAGCAACAGACAGGTTTCCAGAAGGAACTCAATAAAAGCTTTGTTATGTAAAACCAAGAAGGGATTTCAGTTTCTTTGCTAAATGTGTAGCTGCCAGCTGGCATATCTCGTGGCAGTCCGCAAATCTTTGGAATATATTTGTCACCCGAAGAAGGTATTTTACATGAGTGGTGTTACAGTTTGGTACATTCCTAACTGAACCCAAAACTTTCGCCAAAGCAAAATGTGCTATCCAGGCAGAGGACCAGCGTTTGGAGGTGGCTTTGTTGCCCCTCTCCAGGGTTTGACTGGAGTGAACCAGATGGTTTGTGTATCTGGCAAGTGCTCTGTGTATCTGTTGAGTGCTCTGTTTGGAGGAAGGGGGCAAAAGCTGCATCAGCCATTCTTGGCTCAAACTGTAGAACAGTCAATGCATCTGTGATGCAGAGGAGTCAGTAATATGGCTGAAATGAGAAGTAACTCATAATACCATACAATTAGAAATTCCGATATGGCAGAGAGAACCCAAATGTCAGAGCAGCCCTTTTCAGTAGATTTCTTTTCAATTGCTTCTTTCCCCAACAGAAGGAAGCTGTTGGGGGAAACAAGTATCTTAACTTCCCAGCCTCTTGAGGCTCAAAAGGTTGCAGACCTCTAAAGGCTCTGTGATTTTAGGGGTGGTTAACTGGGATTCTGGGGCCAGCCTAGGTGAAGGATATAATCTGTATGTTCTTGAGCTTTGGCTAGAGCCAGCTTTGTGTTTAGCTGTATCTTGGGACAAGCAGCTTCAAAAAGGAGGCAGTGATATAAATTGTTCAGTCAAGCTTTCTTAATTTTTTTAAACGTAAATCAAAAAGCAAATAGGGTGTGGTTGGGTGGGTTGTTTTTGCTGTTTTCTTTTTTTTTTAATACCAATATCAGTAGCTGATTTACACTCAGTATTCTTAGTAAGTCCAGGATCTTTGGTGGGGCAGAGACTGTCAATAGGAAAGTTCAGAAATATGACTGTGTAGGTGTGTTTCTGGGGACAGTTGTTGTTGTTTCCACTTTTTGCCTGCAATCTGTGATTGCCCTGATCTTGGTCTCAGGGAGGTGGTAAAGCAGTGGGCTATTCTTTTCTAATAAGTGATTTCATTCTGTGTAAAGTTCTCCTTAAAAAGTACTGAAGACTTTGGCTCAGCCAGTCTCTAATTCATAGCTTTGTTAAAATTATTCTCAACTTCTGGTTTATATTTTATAGTTGTATAGGTATCTCTGTGTATTTATAGACCAATACATATTTTGTATGCTTGGTTGTTCCCTGTGTTGTATTTAAAAGCACAAAAGAAAACTTTGGTCTGCTTTTTCAGCCAGCCTGTTGGTGTACGGCTGAGAGACAGGGCATCTTCCCTGCTCCCAAGCCCATCTAGCTCAGCGTTGTAATGTTTAGACTGGACTGGGTATTTGTCATCATGTCATGGTTTTCTTCTGTAGGCCTTGCAGGAGAAGCTGTGGAACGTGGCAGCTCCTCTGTACCTGAAACAGAATGCGTTAGCATCTGCTGCAGCAAAACAGGTGAGGTAGAAGCAGCTGGGTCTGCGTGGAGGCAAGTCCTCAGATACGAGCCCTTCCTTGGCCATGCAACAATAATACACTTCTGACCTTCCACTGCCGTAGTCTGTCCCAGTAAATCTTAGTTCCTGAAAGTGGAGTAATTTCTCTCATCTTCAAAAGATGAGTGGTGAGTGGGGGAGGTTCATGACAACTGTAAAAAGGCAAACATCGCACCCATCTTCCAGAAGAGCAAGAAAGAAGATCCAGAAGATTGGAACCTTCCCCTTCCTGGGGAAGGTTATGGACCAAATCCTCTTAAAAGCCATTTCTAAACAAGTGAAGGTCAACAAGGTGATTGGGAAGAGCCAAAATACATTTCCCAAGGGCAAATTATGCCTGACCAACATCATTGCTCTCTGTGATGAGGGGACTGCTGCTGTGAACAAGGAAAGAGCAGTGGACATTGTATCTCTTGACTTTAGAAAAGCCTTTGATGCAGCATCCCATTGTTTCCTTTTCACCAAACTAGCAAGATTCTGGCTGAATAAGTGAGTGATAAGGCTCCTCCAAATTGAAGAGCCAGTTGATATGCTGGAGGGCATGGCTGCTGTCCAGGCTGGGCTGGACATGCTGGGGAAGTGAGATGACAGGAACCTCATGCTGTTCAGCATGGGGATCCTGGTGGACAACATGTTGAACATGAGACAGTAAAGAAAGCCAGCTGCATCCTGGACTGTCTTAGCAAGAGCGTAGCCATCAGGTCTGGGGAGGTGATCCTTCCCTTCTGTTCAGCTCTGTGGGGAACATGTCTGGAGGGCTATGTTGTGTTTTGGCCTCCCCAGCAGACGAAAGACGCTGACAAACTGGGGCAAGTTCAGCAGAGGGACACCGATGTGGTCAGGGGCTGGAGCACATTCCCTGCAAGGAGAGGCTGAGGGAACTGGACTTGTCCAGCCTGGAGGAGAGGAGGCTTCAGGATGGATTTCCTGCTGTCTACCACTGCCTCATTGTAGGATATAGTCTGGATCTGTCTCATCTGCTGTGGACAAGACACAACGGACACAAGTTGGAATATGAGAAATTCTGATTAGATACAAGGGGTAAAAAAATTTACTATAAGGGCGGTTAAATACTGGAACAGGTTGCCCAGAGAGGTGGGTTGAATCTCTGTCCTTGGAAGTGTTCACAGCTTGATGCGGCCCTGAGTAACTGGATCTAATTAAACCTGCTCTGAACAGGGGATCAGGCTAGATGACCTCCAGAGGTCCCACCAACCTGAGTTATTCTGATTCTGTGATGTATAAATGATCTGATCCTGGAAAAACTGAAGCTAAGCGCTAAGAAAAGGTAAAAGAGAAACCAAGCTATTAAATAATCTGGAAACAAATCTAAGGTAAAAGCAAGTTCATGGATCTGCTGGGAAACTGTGCTGACATTTTGAGTCTTCAGTTAATTAAGATGTAATAAGAGACAGGTACTGCTGTGCATCAAAACCTTCTGTGCTGTTGACAGCTGTCCCCAGGGATAGTAGAAACAAAAGCGTATCAGCTTTTTACATTTTCTCTAATTCAACTGTCTGTCTTGGGTGCCCTTCGCAGTAGCATGCAAACCCCCTGGGAAGTTTTATCTGCTGTGATTGTGAATGTGGAACACTTCCGTCAATGCAAAGTGAGGGAGGTTTTCCTATTAAATAACTTGCAAGTTCTTGGTTTCTATAGAGTCATACTGAACTCAACTGTATTAATCTGAGCACTTCTCTTGTCTACTTAAGCCCACCTATTCGACAGATAAAGTACGATGAGTAAAACTGCAATGTGCTGTCTAAGATTTTAACCATGTACCTAAAATAACCCAGAATGATACTTATCTTGTGATAGTTCCCATCTTCAGCTGCAGTATGTGAAGCGTTGTTGAATGTAAAGTTGTTTCCAAGAGAACTTTGTCAAATATAGCTCCAAAAATGTAAACCTGAGCAGGACCACTGAGGGTGCTCTGTTGTGCTGCTCACGTTTTGTATTCCAGAGTAGTCAGCGGGAGTCGGTGAGCGCTCTATCCCTAGAAATGTAAAATGCAATGTCAAAAGAGACTGCTGATGAAGGGGGTGCTTGATTTCAGGCCATGTTTCATGAATTGTTTCTTTAGTATAGCCAAGATAACCTTTTAGTATGAGGTGCCACTTTACGCCATGAAGAATTTCACCAAAACAATGAGTCTCATGGATTAACGTGTTCCTCAGAATGAGGAAAAATACCAGAATCTTGTGATCATGCTTGTGCAAGAGTTCAACAGAGTCTGACGGTTTGTTACCCCTGTGGTGTCTGTCTGACAGATCTTGGAAGAAACTTATAAAATGGAGTTCATGTACAGCGGCGTGGAAAGTAGACAAGTGGTCATTATTCACCACATGAGACTGCAAGCAAAGGCGTTACAGCTTATAGTGACTGCACGTACCACTAGAGGGTAAGGATGACCTGATAGAAGGACCTTCTTTGGGTTAACTGTCAGCTTAGTTTCCTCAAGCTTTGTTTAAAAAAACAGCAAGGATGAATTAGACCCATAAAACATCATGGCATGCCAATAACCATTTGCTAAACTACTTCAGCATGAAGAGCCTTCTTTTGCCTGTGGTGTAGCTGTAGAGTGGCATAATACTAAATTATGTGACAAAATTATTAGGAAGACATGGTTAGGGGGTTGAGTTCTCTCAGCTATGAACATATAAATAGGTTAAAAATGTTGTAGAGTATATCTTAGAGTTGCTATTTGGGACCTATTTAAATGAGGAAAAGTCATGTATCAAAGAATGCACTAATTGTGTCTGCTTAAGTATTAGTTTCTGAGTTTTTAGCATCAGAAAAGAATTGTCTTTTTGACTGACCTGCAACTGATGTTTGTGTGACTTGGACACAAAATGCTCACGTGTATGCATGGCTTAGGTAACAGGAGAGGCTCTATGTGCTTCGTTTTGGCTGCTGAGGTCAGTGCAGTTACATGTGGGTTTGGATGGCTGTAGAATTAGCACTTCATTTGGTGGAGTTAGAGCAAGGTGGTTGGTATCCTAATTTGTTTAGTTTTGCTTCAGGTTTGTTGCCGTCAATTTACTGCGTTGCCATAGAGGTCTGTGATACATTTGCCTCTTAACCTCCTGTTTTATAGGTGGGAAGTTAATATTTTCTAGCAGTGGCTTTGGGACCTTAATTAGTGCCTTATGCAAATGATTTTTTGTGGGAGGGGGATATGGATGTGGGGAGGAAGATGGCAATTAATTTCTATTTCTTCTCTTGTGGGGAACACCTTTCTGGCCTTAACGTTGTAAGATCTTTTATTTTTTAGGAGCTTGAACTGGATTCCAAAACACCTAAATGTTTATAACCATAGAGCAAATTTTCTTTATTCAAAACTAAACCGAGGAATGTTATCTTCCTTACAGAGTGGAGCCCCTTTTTGGGATGTGTGAAAAATTCCTACAGGAAGTGGATTCCTTTCAGAGGTGAGAAACTCCGTTGCTTCTTCACTTTATGTTAGAAAGTCCCCTCACCATTGTCATCAGGGAATGTTCTGTTTGTTTTTCATCTCTTCGCCTCTTCCTTCCCTTGTTGCTGTCCTAGATGATGATAAAGCAAGAAGTAAACTCTCTTCTAAATGTGGGATCAATGGAAGAGCTTTCTTGGAAGTATGACAAAAAATTTCCCTTTATCACAAATTTCTAAATTGTAAATGAGAGAGAGAGCGAACTGTCTACATGCTCGAGGTGGGAGTCATCTTGCCCAGATGTTGACAGTTGCTTTGTAAGACCACTGCTTATGAAGCACTCGCCCAGCTCTCCTCTCACTGGAGAGGTGTTTCTTTCCTGGTTAGCTCAGTTGGTTAGAGTGTGGCGCTAATAATGCCCAGGTCATGGGTTCAGTCCCTGCTCACTGCAGGGGGGTTGGGCTAGATGATCTCTCAAGGTCCCTTCCAACCCAAAGCATTCTATGATTCTATGATTCTTTCACCTTATTCTAATCTAGATGTCTAAAATAGGTCAGATTAAGGATGCTCAGGTTTTTTCCATCAACTCAGAAGGTGATTGGATAGCTAGCCCAGAGACATAGGTATCCAGAGTTGGCTGAGCAGAATTCTGTCTCTAGTTCTGATTAAATTCCCATTTATTTGTGGTCCATATGCTTGGCAGTCGTGGCTGGTTAAGTGATGAGAAAAGGGAGCCAAATCTACCCATTCCCTAATGTTTAGCTTATTCGGTAGCTAATGACTAGAACTGTTTATTTGCTTTGTATCTTTCCTTCACACTGAGTCTCGGGATCAGCAAAACTCATCACTTTTTCTCAGGAATGCAACTCCTACAGGCAGTGATGAATTCCACAAAAGGGAGTCTGGATGATGGTAGACCTTGTCAGTTAGCTGTAAGGTTTCCTACGAATGCTCGGACATGTAAAATCCCCATGGCTAGGTTGTGCGGGCTCAGCGTGCCAGATTTTAGCTGCATCCCGTGACAGAGTAGTTGAAATTCGCTGTCTGTGTAGCGGCAGTCATAGGAACACGAGGATGTGTATTCCTGCGTAGCCCTCTTAGCGTGTGCAGAGGAGAGTGTGTTTTTAATCCACCCTTGCCCAGCTGGTGACAGAGCCTTCCGTTTATGGATTATGAGCTCCTGTAGAGCACCACCAGGATCCTGAAAAAAATCTCACTTCTACAGCTTTGGGACCTGACGCTGTTTCAGGCATGTCTGGTATTCTGATCCGGGCTTTATAGACTCAGCTGTAGGTGAAGATACAGCACAACACGGGACTTGACAAGCGGGGAGGAGAGCCCGTTGTTCAAGAGGCTGTTCACCTCCAGAAATCGTGCATTTTTTTCACCAAATTGCACGAGTATTTAGTAGGCTTACAAAACTGCTAAACACAGTGGGAATGTTTCTGATAATAACAGATAAGCCACCAATGACTCAGTCTAACAAAGCATCTTCTGCCTGCAGGGATGTAGGGTAGTAGCGCAATTTTACTTCTATATAAAGAACAAGAAATACCAAATGCTCTTCTTGTGAGAGGCTGTTGTACCAAGCTATAGAATGGATTCTGTTCTCTGTTCTTGACCTCCAGAACTAGCTGCTTTTTTTTCCCCTACTGATTGTCGTTTGCTATTTAAATCTCATTCCTCAGATGTAGTAAGTAATACTCTCATAAATATTGGTAGAGAAAAACCATTCTGGAAACATTGCTGCAGCAGCAGGTCAGACAACTCGTGTATTGCGTGTGTGGGTATGTTAGATCCTGTAATGAGTCAGCTATTTAGTTGGACCTGTAACTGGAGGAAACAGGAAGTTATGAACTGGGTGAAGTTGGTATCCCAGGGCCGTGGAATTTCCAGCTTTGAGAAAGACAAGATCAGGAACAACTGGTTAGAATTTTACAGGGGCATTCCTCACAGGAAGCTCATTACGGCATTGGAGTTGAGAGCGAATGTCTACCTCATGAGAGGATTTCTAGCAACGGGTAGGCAAGAAACTTGTATTAAATTGTGCTGGCACTGTCAGGCAGAAAGTGAGACCTGCTCACATATTATTGGACACTGCAGAGCAGTACGAGATGCGAGGATAAAGAGGTTCAATCAATTATGTGAACTATTGGCAAATGAGGCAAAAAAGAAGGACTGGGTAGTATTCCAGCAGTGTTCCACTGCTGAAAGATGAACGGAGTGAATTATACAAGCCGGACCTGGTGTTTGTTGAAGGAGACCAGGCAGCAGTAGTTGACATCACAGTTAGATATGAAAGTAAGCTGACATCTCTGGTGGACACAGCAGCGGAAAAAGTTAAGAAATACCAACATTTGAAAGAGCAGATGCAAGATCTGACGAATGCCAGCAACGTTAAATTTATGCGATTTCCACTGGGAGCATGGGGAAAAGGGTACGAGGGCAACTACGAGCTACTGAAAGATTTTGGACTCTCCAGTTCCTGACAGGAAAAGGTTGCTCGTCATCTATGGAATCGAGCACTATTTTCATCTGTGGACAGTGTACATATATTTGTAAGTCAGTCTCAGACTGTTATTAGATCTTAGCATATTAAAACTGTAACCAGTTTAATTGAATGTTAATAAACTGACTATTCCTTTCTATCTGTCTAAGGCGGGAGCCGGACCCCACTGCAGAGTGTCAAAGGGTGACAAGCTTGTGTGAAAGGGTGATTCTCTGATAGGGTGCGATCATACATAGGAATAAAGGGGCTCGGTAATCATGATGTGTTACTTAAATTCCTGTCGAAGACGTTAACAATTACTGGTCTTTACCGAGGTGGATGGGCCACCTTACCTTAACCCAGAAAAGGAACATGTATAATTTCATATATGTTTGATAAATAGCCAGATGAAAGTGTACAGTGTAAAGAATTAGGCACGTGCAGAAAAGTACCAATTTCAAAAGTTGGTAAGGCAACTACAGCAGGAAGGGCTCTTTCATCCAGCTGTGTTTCCTTGTTGAGACATTGAGATTGAATGCAGAGTACTGGAATCGCCCGTAGTCTCATTTCATTAGCACTCTTACTATCTAAATAGCATTACAGCTGCACATGCACTCTGAGCAGACAAATCCCTGCAGTATCTGCTTCTCATGAATGTGATGCTGATGGGCACCTCAGCATTTCTAGCACCTTTTTTGTGAATCTAGATTCCTTTGCCTGCTGGGCTCTGTATCGATGAAGGACATAAGAGGTGAGACCTGAATAGCCCTTGACATTGTCAGTTTGAGCACAAGGTATGGTCCTAACACCACTAGCCAAAATCGTCTTTATCTTCTGTATGAAACGTGCATCAGAAGAGGAATCTACGTATCTGATTCCGTCCTTATAACTAAATATGATTAAGTACCTTGGCTGAAAATAACAATACTGTTGAAAATGATGAAAAAAGTATTTTATTTCTAATTTATTCTTAACACAGATGTTTCATCTCTGAGCTCCCACATATGCAAGGCAGTTTTGTAGATAAATTGCTGGACTTAATGCCCAGACTCGTGACATCCAAGCCTTCGGAAGTGGTCAAGATTCTTCAGACAACACTGCGACAAAGTACCTTCCTCCACCTTCCTCTTCCAGAGCAGGTCAGTTTAACAGAGAATTAACATGCAGTATCCTTGCAGACTGTCTCGGCATTTGACTAGTTCCTAATATACCATGAAGCTTTTAGGATTCAGGTTTTTGGTCAGTCCCAAGTGTTATTTCTTCAAGGGTTTTCTTCTTCTTACCTAGCATCCTCAGGACTACTGCTAAAAATACAGAAGACTTAAGTATTCCTGGCAGTATCTAAAAGAATCCAAAGTTCATGCACAATTTCTCCTTAAAGAACAGTAATGATTGTCTTTTTTTCTTTCCTCCTCCTCTCCCTGCCTTATTTTTGCCAACTGCTTTGCCCCTAATAGCTCCATAAAGCTACTGCAAATATAATTGAGCCTACCGGTGAATCTGATAATCCTCTGAGGTTTACATCGGGGTTGGTAGTGGCACTGGATGTTGATGCAACTCTGGAACATGTGCAGGATCCCCAAGGAACCGTTAAAGTTCAGGTAAGGAGTCGCTTGACATAAATACAAACAAGAAATGAAAACCTCTGTCTGCAATGCAGAGGAAGAAGCTGATGCCAGTGTATTCTTGTTCCACCTGTGCTGTGGGTCTGAATGGCCGGAGTGTGGCCGTTAAATCTAGGGCAGCTGGGCTCCTGGCTCCAAGATAAAGCACGCCTTCCTGCCTGCCTTCCAAACTCGAACAGACAACACCAAAATAACTCACTCTGTGCAAATCCTCAGCCCAGTTGTCATTCAGTTGTTTCCTTTTTTTTTTTTTTTTTTTTCTCCTGTAGGTATTGTATCCAGATGGACAAGCACAGCTAATCCATCCTAAACCAGCTGACTTCCGAAATCCTGGTCCTGGAAGGCACAGGCTGATAACTCAGGTTTACCTCTCACACACAGCCTGGACAGGTAAAGTTAACGATACAAGTTCATGTGATTGTATTGCTGCACTTTTATAAGATAAGAGTGTGTCTTGCTTGATCCCCGTCTCCTGCACATAAGACGTACATGCCCACAGTCTTGGGGGCTTTGGGGATCCTGGAGTCTACAGCTGCCGTTGGTGCTACCCTTAGTGCTGCTCAGATTTCTGTTCTCGCAGCCTTTGAGCAGTTACATCTCCCTGCCTGACAGGGCACTACTGCTCCGTAGGTGACTGGAGGGGCTGCTGTCTTTGGGGAGAAGGTGCTTGCTGGGGCTTTGGTGGGCTGACCCTGGCTGGACACCAGGTGCCCACCAAAGCCGCACTGTCACTCCCCTCCTCAGCTGGACAGGGGAGAGAAAATATAACAAAAGGCTCTTGGGTTGAGATAAGGACAGGGAGATCACTCAGCAATTACCGTCATGGGCAAAATGGACTCAACTTGGGGAAATTAATTTATTGCCAATCAAATCAGAGTAGGATAATGAGAAATAAAACCAAATCTTAAAAACACCTTCCCCCTGACCCTTCCCTTCTTCCCTGGCTCAACTTCACTCCCCATTTTCTCTCCCTCCTCCCCTTGAGCAGTGCAAGGGGATGGGGAATGGGGGTTGGGGTCAGTGCATCACACATTGTCTCTGCCGCTCCTTCCTCCCCAGGGGAGGACTCCTCACACTCTTCCCCTGCTCCAGCGTGGGGTTCCTCCCACGGGAGACAGCCCTCCATGAACTTCTCCAGCGTGGGTCCTTCCCATGGGCTGCAGTTCTTCACAAACTGCTCCAGCGTGGGTCCCTTCCACGGGGTGCAGCCCTTCAGGAGCAGCCTGCTCCAGCGTGGGTCCCCCACGGGGTCCCCAGCCCTGCCACCAAACCTGCTCCAGCCTGGGCTCCTCTCCCCACGGGGCCACAGCTCCTGCCAGGAGCCTGCTCCAGCGTGGGCTTCCCCCGGGGTCACAGCCTCCTTGGGGCACATCCCCCTGCTCCGGCGTGGGCTCCTCCCCGGGTGCAGGTGGATCTCTGCTTCCCGTGGGCCCCCATGGGTGCAGGGCACAGCTGCCTCGCCATGGGCTGCACCAGGGGTGCAGGGGAATCTCTGCTCCGTGCCTGGAGCACCTCCTGCCCTCCTTCTGCACTGACCTTGGGGTCTGCAGAGTCCTGCCTCTCACATACTCTCACTCCTCTCTCTGGCTGCAGTTTGTGCCCATTCCCCCCCTGCCCCTTCTTAAATACGTTATCCCAGAGGCATTACCACCGTCGCTGATGGGCTCAGCCTTGGCCAGGGCGGGTCCATCTTGGAGCCGGCTGGCACTGGCTCCATTGGACATGGAGGAAGCTTCTAGCAGTGTCTCACAGAAGCCACCCCTGTAGCCCCCCTGCTCCCAAAACCTTGCCATGCAAACCCTGTACAGAGCTGTGCGTGCAGTCTTCTGGCACAGGGAGCCTTTACATGGGAGCACATATTCAAGGTGAGGTTGCCCATTTCTGTGCGGAGCGAGATCAGTTGTAGGAGTCAGGCCTGCGTCCTTACCGAAAGGCAAGGAGTCCTGGTGAACTGACTCATTGTAATTCATTGTTTTGGATCTGACAGGTATTTGAGCAGGGCAGAGAACCTTTGGAACTGTGTGTACTCAACAGTACGACTTTACTGCTGATTAAACTTTCACCCTTTTAATGCCCTAAAAACCACCCTTTAGCTCTCATGAAATATGCGACTCCAGCATTCGCGTTCAGTCTCAGCTGGCACTCACGCTTCCCCATGAAAGCGCTTCAGTAATTGGCTTGTGGACTTCAAACAACAAAGGCAGAGAGTATTTGTTTGCAGCTCCCTTTGTCCTGTTTTCTTTTAATCCCTTCGCATTTATTCAAATGTGGTTTTTTTCCTGAGCAGTTTATTTTCTGAGCAGCTATTAGTAGGATTTGGTGATTTTTTTTTTTTTTAACCAACAGAGTTTTGTTTAGTGCAATGTTCTTTCACATACTCCTTTTATATAGCACTTCCATGGTGTACTCGTTCATCCTGCGATCTTTGTTTTGTTTTGGAGAAGAAAAAATGGTATTGTTTCTACGACTGGAACTATCTGGGTTTAAAGGTTGATCCTGTACCAGAGGGAGCTGAATCAATTATTTCTGCTTCTGCAGCATTCGCTCGAAGGGCATTTTAAGTACGGCCCCAAAGGATTCTGTTCTGGTGTCTCCCCTAGCCATTGTTTTAACTATTAACTTTGATATTGGCACTTAGGCATGTAAAATGTGGGGGGGACACCAAGCTGGGAGGGGTTCAGGGAACGGGGTCAGAATTCAAAATGGAGAAATTGCCTTAATTCGAGACAATGAAACTTATGGAAGGCCAGTAAAAAGTGTGTGCTTAGGCAGGAGAATGCCCAAATACAAAGCACGGATTAACTGACGGGTGTATAGCAGAAGCGGTAGAGGTGACTGCAAGCTACAAATTAAAGAAGAGCTGACAGCATGGCGAGTCTCAGGGAGGTGTTGGCCAGACTGTCAGATCGCTGTGGAATAAAGGTTATTTCTTGCGTTCTGTCTGGTGCGGACGTCTCAGCTGGAGTACCACTGCAGTGCTGGGCATCGCGTCTTAAAATTATGTGGGTTTCAGTAGGTTTCATTTAGGTTTCAGTAATGTGGTCCTGGTTTTGGTTAAGCCGGTGTGTACGGTTAAGCCCCACACCCCCCCAGTGCTCGCTCACTGCCCCCGCAGTGGGATGGGGAAGAGAATCAGAAGGGTAAAAGTGAGGAATCTCGTGGGTATTGCACCGTTCAGCAATAGCTAAAGCATTCCTGTGTTATCAACACTGTTTTAGTCACAGATCCGAAAGTTAGTACCATGCGAGCTACTGTGAAGAAAAATTAACTTTATCCCAGCCAAAACCAGTACAAGTCCATATGGAAAACCTAAAGGAATCATGTTTTTCAGTCTAGAAAGGAAAATTTTGATGGGGATGTGGTCCAGCATGCTGCTCAGTCATACTACGCAGACTGAAAGCCCATTTTTGTTATGACCACTGGGAGAACAACAAAGTGAAGTCATGTTATGGACAGTATTAGGAATATCTGTCTAGCTGCTGAGATGGTAAAAGAGGGGAAAAGGCTATCTTGCAGTGTAAAAACCTCCAACAGAAGAGAGTCTTCAAGTAATCTGTGCCGTGAGGCTTATCAGACATCATCTGGATTTACTTGATCCTGCCATAAAAATACTGGTAGCAAGACCTGCTAGTTATGTGGTCTTTTATGATTTTATTATTATTTGGTTGGAATAACTTTTAACAGCTACTTCTGAAAGTTGCTATTTGTCAGCTAGTTGAGATTCTCTTTTTAAGCAATGACAAAAAGAGAGGGACAGTGCTTAGTTCTACCACACTGAATGTAACGACAAAGTTGTATTTTCGAACACCAGGTTGGATTCTGGTCAGCGCAGAACAGCTCTGTACTTTACCCAGCATACGTGAAGTAAAATTTCATTCAGTATCGGTTGTTTGCTGTGTGGTGACGGTCATGTTTGGGTTGTTCTGTTTTTTCTCTGCAGAGCCATGTCAGATTGAAGTGCGGTTGCTGCTGGCCTACAATTCCAACAGGAGCAAGGCATCTGCTAAAATTCCTAAATCTGGCTGGAGTGAGAGCTTGGAGGCTCTCCCACAATCTGAAAACGGCATAGAGGGGACCATACCCTTCAGCAAACCTGTCAAAGTTTATATAATGCCCAAACCTGCCAGACGGTGAAGTCTGTTGCTAAAAGAAATATATTTATGGGATTGTTGGGTTACATGAAAACAATATACTGTGTTCCAAGATAGTGAACCAAACCAAGACAGTTTTATACTTACGTAAAAAAAAGTCAACCGTAGAAAGCAAGCTGCTGAAGAATGATTGGCCTCCTCTGTCAAGAAGCAGGTAGACCGATACAGGAGTTATTCAGCTAGTTAAGAGTAGTTCTGAGAAAATGCAGGAGTTTCTATAGTGAATTGGCAAAATCAAGACGGTTCTCAGTCAGCATTCCAGTAGTATTTCATTGGGCCGTATCTTCAGTTTTTCACTTATCAAAAGTTTCTCTTCAAGCCCTCTAGGTTTTCTGCTCTGTATTTACTAAGGTATTTACTATGTAAATGCTTAGGCACATAAATCAATGTTATTTTTACAGTACTCTGAAACGAAGCTAAGGAGTTTGGGGGTTTTGTGGGGGGTTTTATGGGGTTTGGTTTTTTTTTTTTCCTAATGTCTAAAACTTGTATTTGTGCATTGGGTACCTAAATTCTTCATTAAAAAAAAAAATAAATCTGAAGTGCTATCGTTCTTGTGTAGGAACTGCATCTCAAAGTGAAATTGCCAGTTGCCATAGGCTAAACCCTGAGCTATTTTACGTGCCGAACAGCTGTACTGAAGCTAGTACAGTTTTGGGGAGGGCACAGGCTGTTCACGTTGTGGTGCAGGGTGAGGAGGAACCTGTTGGTGCAAGCAGCAGAACTTCAGTTAGCAGGACATGGAGTTTAATTGAGTTATAGCAAGAAAACAGTATGTTACTTTGTTTACATAAAATGGAGTCAAACTCTGAATTGTAATCCAAGTCTCTTGCACATTTGTATGCCTTTCAGAACAATGCGATTAAATACCACAGGTTGAAAAATTGCTAACCCCATCCCACTGAGTTTTACAGAATCTGTTTCTGCGTGGTGATCTTGGCCTGAACCAGTCTTAACTGAGATGAGAAAATCTGTTTAGTTTTTCAATTCAGCAGCCGTTTTGGCATCCAAAGTCTTTCTGATCGGCCGAAGTAGCCGAACACACTCTCGGGTAAGCGGCAGTCGGTCGGTGTTCCCCTAAGCGGGTGAGCTGGGAGTACGGAGGGACAGGAACTTACTAAGGATGTGATCCTTCTGGCATTCAT